ACAATCTCATTAAGAATAATCTGCTCCTGCTTTTCTTGTTTTACCATATGGACGTTCCACGCAGGGTTACGGTGCCCATGGGAGCCTCATTTTGCCACAAATTTCTTCCTTAAATATTGTACCTCAACAGTGAAAAGAACCTTCCCCTGCCAAATATCAGAATAGTGATTTTTGATAGAAAATGTTTACATTTAGTCATTAAAAAAAATATAAACTGACAACAAAGAAGAGACAGAACACCACGTGTGTGCACACACACACAAAACTAAGTACCACATTCAGTTTCTCACTGATTATTTTGTGGGCCAGCAAGGGTAAAGGCATGGCCTGTTCTCAGAAGCACAATTGCCTCACAGTTTTCTTTAGAACAAGAAATGAGAAAAACCAAACAGTAGTCAGCAATAGTAAACTGGGGGGGTGGAGGGAAGGAAGAGGAAGGAGCCTCAGATGTGACCCATTAGCACAGGCATATCAGCCAAACACATATGGCAAGTTTTATGCTATTTTTTAAGAACAATTGTTTAATGAACTGATTTGCAAATAAAATGCATCTCTTTTATCACTGGCAATTGCCAAAATTCTGTTCACCAAGCAAAAAAAAAGGCATGTGCTTTGATTGAGAAGCGCTCGGTGCTGCGTAACTCCCCCCTACCTGTTGCTCTTCCGCTATTCTGTCTGTCTTCTCACACAGACCAGACTTTCCCACAGTACCTGAGATGAGGGTTATAACTGATCTTCATGCCAGAAGGAGTTCCATGCAAAATTATACCCTTCAGTTCAACAGTCTGTTATCCCAAACACAGAGTTTCCACATACAAAACAGCGGGCTGGAGATAAGTAAGGCTCATTTCTTGGCTGAATGAGGTGACTGAATTACACTGCACTTGAACATGGATGGGAGAGGAGGGGGAGAAGTCCGGGGGATTACCTTTGGGAGAAAGAAGAAACTGGAGGTGGTAACTGGAAAGGATTTTGTGTGTCTGTCACTGGATGGGAAATAACATATGGAGGCAAACTGTACAACAACATGTAAAATATTACATAAATATGTGTCTATACACACACACACACACAGAGCTTGTTAGCCACATACCTCCAAATTCCTCTTTCGTTGTCTGCACAAACATCTTTGTGCCCTCTGCCGACAACAAGAGAGCTGCACAGCACTGAGTTTCACTTCGGTGGGACCAGCATTTCAGGATCCAGGGTAAGGAATGGGATCTAGCTTGACTACTCAAGCTATGATTTATCCAGTTGCGCCTACCTGCATCATGCTGGCTCAGGTTTTGAAACAGTTTTATTTCAGGACAATAAATTATTTTTACCTTAAAGTAAACCAGAATTAAGTTCCTCTGCTACAGGGAACAGGCAGGTTCGAAACATCAATAAGGATGCCTTCCAGCACATGAGTCACTCCTCACTCACGTGCCTGGAGGATTCAGGGGCTTGTAAGACACCTCCCCTACCCCCTACAATAACCTGCACACTATACAAAGGCCCAAGTGCTGTTCTGTTAGTTATGGATGGTCACTCCGCAGTCTCAGCTTCACTGCATTTCCTCCCATTTCCCCTGGCAGAGCTGTTACCCCATCTCTTCCACAACGTACTCTGGTGCACTACTTTCCTAACCCTTCCTTTCCCTTCTGCGCCCTTCATCTTCTTCACCTTCCTAGGTAATCTTTGTTTTCTTGCAATGAATATATCTAGTTTCCCCTCCTCCTCCACAGTATTGACCACATGTGACCAGGGATGCTGAAGCAACAGGCAGCACTCATACCACACAGATACTGCGTGAGACTACCTGGGGACAGTATTGGGAAGGCAGCTAAAACTGTCAAGTACTAGACTTACACTGCACACAGTACTAGGTAAAAAAAGCTTATTTCTGGTTGATCTTCAACTGTGGCACTTGTTGAAAGCTGAATGGTCCTGAGACAGATCATTATGGGTCGCCTGCAGAAGAAAACTCTTCTGAAGTTTCTATCATGATCATCTTTGTTAGGATCTGTACGTGTGTGTATGAATATACATGTCCACCTATCTATTATTTTTAGAAAGGAAAAAATATTGTTGTTTATTACAGTTCATCTCAGTATATCTAGGACTATACTTCGAGGAACACAGCTATCCATGTCCTTTCCCCCAAAGCAAGAAGGACAACTTGCACATGTATATGCAATAAAACTGTATTTTGTGTGGTTTTGCCTTTTTTTTTTTTTAATACAGATATTTGTACACTTTCTTACAAAACTGCAGGTAACTACAACTTTTCTTAAATCATTTTTGGTCGGCAAGTACTGTAAAATCTTTGTGTGCAATTATCATGTATTTACAGGGCCTCATGTTAGTGATTTTCAATGATTATTACAATAATGTCACACACTCTCAAATAAGACATGGCTTAAGATAAATATATTAGTAAATAAATATTCTGAGAACATATTTCCATAAATGAAATGTGCTGTTATACATATACAGAATATATACAAGATGTTTTCTAGCTTTTAAAACATTTTAAAAAATGGTAATGAAGGAGAAAGAGCCCTTTGACCATATTACAAATCTTTACAGCAAATTTTATACAAAACAATTTTAAGTGCTATAAGATAAGTTTAATCAAAAACATTTTAAATAGTGCCTCATGAGCCAAACACAATGACAACTGTTCTGTAAGTAGTAGAAAGGCATTTTGTTATAAAAACCGTCAATCACGGACAGCTAGCCTGTAAGTCTGTATGGACGTACAGGCAGCAGGGAATTAACTAAATGTTGAATATAAAACCAAATGCAGAAACCAAGCGTAGAGCACCTTTGTGGTAAGGCCTGCAGAGACTGTTGCACTGGCGGCGATTTCCACAACATGTGAATGAGACCAGTACATCCAGGAACACCATGAGCCAGAACATTCAAATTTCTTCTTTATAACGACATTTTACCACAACACGCTGTGTAGTTTTAGAGTACGATACATCTTAGGTGGCCTTAGATAGTGCCTCACAAAATGCCAAGCAGAATAACCATGGTAGTATACCATAGCTTCTACAATGTATTTCTTTTGAGTGGAGGAGGGAGAAAGGTAAGACTTAAAAAAACAAACAAAAACCCCAAACCTTTAGAGTTTCTTCTCCCAACACATACCACTTCCTTCAGTCTTTCACAGAATGAGTAAGTTTTCAGTAAGCTTTAAACACAGGAAATGCGTTTATTGGAATTTTTCTGTTAATCTTATACCCAGATATTGTCTTGTATTAATTCTCTGAACAGCTGGCTTTTGGTGTTGGTTCATTTAAAAAGATGTAATGTGAATCCCTTGAAATAGAAATACTTTTTCCTAACTTACTGAGTATAGAAAGTAAAAGTAAACAGATTAATGTATTCGTTATTTCTTACATGTTTTCTTCTTTTAAAATATTTCATTTGGGACTATAAAGCAAACAAGTTAACTTTGCTGGTTCTCACACTTAGTCCAGTGCTGTCAAGGATATTACTTTGGCAGAAAATGTAACATAAAGTGTACATCTCTTTTTCATGTCTTTTAAGTATCTCCAAAGTGTAGTGAACTTCGGACAAATCTTTTCAGAAGAATGGCACAGTGGGCA